TGGCTAGCCCAAGTAAAATTTGACCAGTACCGTATGAACACCTTGTAAGGATAACTTTTTGTATGGCTAGCAAAAGTAAAATTTGACCAGTACCGTATGAACACCTTGCCACGATAACTTTTTGTCTGGCTAGCCCAAGTAAAATTTGACCAGTACCGATGAACACCTTGTAAGGATAACTTTTTGTATGGCTAGCGCAAGTAAAATTTGATCAGTACCGATGAACACCTTGTCCAGATAACTGTGTATGGCTAGCCCAAGTAAAATTTGACCAGTACCGATGAACACCTTGTCTGGATAACATTTCATAAGGCAAGCTCTAGGCAGTTTTTGCATGCTTTGCACATGCCATTGATCAGATTGAAAATAACTAACATTAACAAATTGATGTGGCACTCGGACTGTACACCTTTTTTTTGTTTACGATTTAAGAGACAGTTCCATGCATGAGGTACAGTATGTGCAGGTTAAATTTTTGACTGGTTAAGAATTTGGCCAGTACCGAGTAAATGTAGCCTGACTGACAACTTTTGTGAACATGGTTTTCTTTTTTCCGTTTCTTAGCTTGTTTTTTTTTCCAGGAACTATGAGGAGTTCCGACCCAGCAGCTACACAACATGTCGCCACATCATTACCTCAAGCAAAACAACAGCAGCAACATTTAATGCAAAACATGGAGACTCTTCTTGAAAGTATGAACAAAGGAAACATACAAAACATAGATTTGGGCCATTGGCAGAACCTCATGGAGAGTATGAAAGATATTGACTTTACAAACATTGGATTAGATGCCAGTCAATGGCAAGAACTAGCCTATTCTTTTAGTCAATACTTATCCCAGCAGAACTTATTAGGAAGTGGTGAAATGCAGTCAAGTCAAGGATTTGGACTTATGCAAAGCCCAAATATTCCTGTACAGCAAAGCAGTTCTACTTACAGCTCTTCAACTCCTCAGTCATCTCTCCATGGATCCCACACAAGTTACAACAGCTCAGCAGGATTTAGTGCTGGTTCTAATCATTCAATTCCTGGGATTAAGGTAACTCCTGTGTCACAATCAGTACAGGGTGGCACTCAATTAGATGATGAAGAAGAAGAAGACTTCGATTGGGAGTCAATTATGTAGAAATTATAATTACTAACTTAAAAGTAAAAATATGCAGATATAACATTTAGCCTTTCATACATTCAGCAGATAATAATAAACCCATGGAATGATTCTGATCTTCACCCTGTTTGAAGAAGCAACAAAAGGCCAACAGTTCTTTCAATCAATATTTGTTTGGGTTTCTTGTAGCCATCTTATTATGGACTTTCACTTTTGATGCTATTACTAGTGTGTGTGACTGTCTAATTTCATAAATCCTGCACTTGTATCAATAGTGAAAACCTGCTAGACTAACTTTTATTCTGCATTTTACATTAAAAACTATTATTTAAGGAATGGATCATAAGTAGCGTGCATCCATCGAGTTATGGATGCACGCGGGAGGTTGCTAAGCACGAAGAAAAGCATAAGAGTTGCACGACGCGAAGCGAAGTGCAACTCTAGCTTTTTTGAGTGCTTAAGCAACCTCCCAAGTGCATCCATAACTCGATGGACGCACAGCTACTTGTGATCCATTGCTTTTATAATATAGTCAAGTCAACAAACAAGAAATAAATACAAATTATAGACTGTATTTGTTGATCATGCCCTAAATTCTCCTTACGCACCTTGAGTGAATGAAAAGCACAAAGGCGCCAAAAACAGAAAAACAGTCGTTTTGAAAATGGCAGCTTTACACTGAAGACAGT